ATATCCAAGAGTATCTCAGAGTTCTGCTTTTTTGAACCCCAACTACAATTTTATTGCTGTTGGCTTTTGTTTTTTGTTTGTTTTGTTTTCCCCTGTTTTGTAGTTTTAAATAGGAACTTACTCTCTAACCCAAGCTGGCCGAGACTCACTATGTAGCAAGGATGGCAACAGTGCTCTTCCTCACTTCCCTACTTCAGCGCCTGTCATCCTCACTTCCCTACTTCAGCGCCTGTCATCCTCACTTCCCTACTTCACCTGTCTTCCTCACTTCCCTACTTCAGCGCCTGTCTTCCTCACTTCCCTACTTCAGCACCTGTCATCCTCACTTCCCTACTTCAGCACCTGTCATCCTCACTTCCCTACTTCAGCGCCTGTCATCCTCACTTCCCTACTTCAGCGCCTGTCATCCTCACTTCCCTACTTCAGCGCCTGTCATCCTCACTTCCCTACTTCAGCGCCTGTCATCCTCACTTCCCTACTTCAGCGCCTGTCATTATTATTTAGCACAATGGTTGAAGATGGAGGTTCCTGTCCTGCCACCCTTCAGCCTAAATAAACATACAGATGTTATATTAATTATAAAACTGTTGGCCAATGGCTAGGGCTTCTTACTGACTAGCTCTCTTTTCATTATTAACCCATTTCTACTCATCTAAGCGTTCCCACACGGTCTCTCTTACCTGAGAAAGGTCTGGACCTGTTACTCCTTCCTCAGCTACATGGTGTCTCTCTCTGACCTTCCTCTCCCTAGCCTTCCCCTGGTCTCATCGACCCACCTCTCCTTTCTGCCTGACTATTGGCCAAGCAATGTTTTATTCATCGACCAATAAGAGAAACATAAACAGAAGGACACCCTCCATCAAATGAGGTGAGCATTCCTGTTTTATGCTGTACATGTAACAGTAACAAGAACCTTTGCTGAGACCAACACTAGTTTTATAGATAAAGAAAACTAAGGCTTTACATAACTAACCTATGGCTGCACAGTTCTTAATAGGCTACTGGTTCAAAAGCACCTGCTATGGAATAATCCTTCTGTACACTGTGAGAATATAGGATGCTGTGATTGGTCTAATGAACAAGCTGGCTGGCCAATAGCCGGACAGGATACAGTTAGGCGGGAAAGCCGAACTGAGAATGGTGGGGTGAGGAAGGGCGGAGTCAGAGGAGTCACCAAACAGAGAACGAGTGGACACACAAAGTGGATAGAGGTAAAAGCCACGAGCCTCAAGGCAGCACATAGAGTAATAGAATGGTTAATCTAGTTAGTAACAAGCCTGAGCTATTGGAGGAACATTTACAATTAATATAAGCCTCTCTGTGGTAATTTGGAAGTGGCTCCTGGGAGAAGAAAACCCCACAATTCAAACATGTAAGAAAAAGTAATCACATGCCAAGGACATGCATCAAAAGTTAAAAATGTAGATCTTTTGCTGACCAATACCTTTCCTGATTCCAAACTAGTCTTTAAAAAACTAGCTATTACTGAACTTTTTTACCTAGGTCAAAACTAAAGATATTAAACTAATATAAGAACACCGTCTAATTATTTGAAAAAGAAGCTGGCTACTCCATTACCAATTATTATTCAAATGACCCTAAATATATCAGAGCTGTGGACTTGAGCGGATATTCTGCTATTAAAGTAAACATATGAATAGTTTGTCCAATGACTAGAATTTTATCTGTGATACAGGGACATCATATTAACCATGGAACATTTAACTTACATTCAAACTCAAAACAGAGAAAATGCCAAAACTAAACTGACAATCATGACTTCTATTAATATTTTATAATGACACCATAATACTTACATCCATATAATAGATTCTTACTATAAATCATAACATTTGATTTCATTTATTATTCACATAATAGTCTACATTTTCATACCTAGGAAAAATGACTTTGAAAGATATTTTCACAAGAAAATGTCATGGAAGCTATTAAATGTAACTGCATCCTAAAGATTAACCTACCATAATTTATGGCCTGACTTGCACACATACTCTGTGTACTATAACTTAAAGAAATTATATACATATATATATATATATATACACACACACACAAAAAGTATATATATGTTGTATATATATACACATACAAAATTATGTATGTATATGCATATATACAAAAAATGTTAACAGTAGCATCATTTAAAACAGTACCCTAAACATTCAGTAAGAGTAGGTTGTGATATACTCATACAGAATATTAAACAACAGTGAAAAGAAAAAAAGTAATGAACCAGACTCGTGCTCAGCAAGCACAAAGCTCATGATACATTTAAATTAAAAAAATTATCAATGACTGTCTGCAATGCAATTAATTCTAAAGTAGGAATGATTTTGAACTAGTTACTAATTAACAAATTAAGTACGAATGTAGGACAGCTTTGAGAGGTGGGGGCAGCAGAGCTGAAGCCCCCAGTGCTACCCTCCTCATGCTCTGTCAGCATGTTTTATTTCTTAAAACAACGCTGGTGGGCACACAGCAATCACGATGTCTCAGATAAACAAGCTGAAATTTACAGTGGGTCCTCCATACCCCTGGCTCCACATTCAGAATTTCCACCAGCTACAAATGGAAAATACTGAGGGAAAAACTGCACTTGAATTGAACACGCAGTCTTTTTTTTTTTCCCCAGCATTCCCCAAATAACATACAGTACAATGATGAGGGCTTGTATGTAATCCAAAGACAGCTGAAGAAGAAAGATGTATGTGAGTTATATTCAAATACTATACCATTTTATAACAGAAATTTCTTCTTTCCTATGGATTTGGATTTGTTTTGTTTCAAACATAATCTTACTCTAGCCCAAGTTAATCCAAATTTACTCTGTAGCTCACACCAGCATTAAACTCAGACCATTCTCCTAATTCTGCATGCTGGGATTACAGGCCCAGTTCCTCTGAGGGGTTTGTGTCCCCCACAGACACTAAGATATGACAAGTTCTGAATATGAAGATGTAAAAATACTACCCGAGACAGAACTGCTGGGTTTTCTGTAGATAAAGAAAACCATTAGCAATTCTACATGAGTCAACATACTGATATGAATTCTTTATATCAAGAATTACATGAGCAGATAAACGGCCCTGAAGAGCACTGGCTCCCCTTCTAGAGGATCCAAGTTTGATTCCCAGCACCTGCATGGTAGTTCACAAGCATCTCTAACACCAGTTCCAAGGAACCGATGCCATCTTTTGGCACCAGGTGAACACCCATACACATAAACTTAAAAATAAATAAATGACTGTGTGTGCTGGAAAGGTGGCTCCGAGGTTAAGAGCACTTGCAGAGGACACAGGTGCATCTTTTAACACCTACACAATGGCTCACAAGCACCAGAAACTCCAGTTCCAGGCAATTCCCTCCTGTTCTGACCTCCATGGACACTGCATGTGCACAGCGCAAAAGCAGACAAGCAGGCCTTCTCTTTTCATTATTAACCCATTTCTATTAGTCTATAAAACACACACACACACACACACACACACACACACACACACACACACACACACACACACCAGACAAGGTTTCTCTGCGTAGCCTTGGCTGTCCTGGAACTTGCTTTGTAGACCAAGCTGACTTTGAACACAGAGATCCACCTTTCTCTGCCTCCTGAGTGCCAGGATTAAAGGCATGTGCCACCACCTCCCAGCTGGAATTGTTCATTTTTACCCCCAAAAATTTACTAGTAAGTAGTCTGTATGTAATAACATGGTCAGGGAAACAAAAAAATAAAATTGAGATGGACAGATTACTTCTTCAGCCATGGATAAGAATCAAAGAAAAACACATTTAGTAATAGAACAAACTAAATCACACAGCTTGGAAACGTGTTATACAAAATGTGGTCAGTATTGTCTTTAATTTTAAAATATTACTTCTTTTCAAAGTACTGATGCACAATCCTAATAAATCCTTAAAAGATTCTTGTTAGGCAAATGTTTATGCACATAAAAATAAAAATCCAAAAGAGAATTAACTGATCCAAGATCAAAACTAAATCCAATTTCCAAATCAGACACAACCAGAAGGTCAGTAAGTTATTCCTCTTCAGTGTTAATTAAAGATGTGTGTGACAGAAAAAATTCAGGATAACCACCACTGGCACTGTGTTTTAATGCAGAAAACTAAATTACATTGTATAAGTTCACATAAAAGTAATACCTGGGCTAATGATTAAACTGCCAGACCAGTGCATTAACCCTATGAACAAAGGAAACATACCCTGCATAAGAAAGGGTTCTTTTTTTTAAAGTTCCCTCCCCTTCATCATAAACTTTAGTACGAAATGTTTAAAAAAAAATAAAAGCTCGAATTAGAAAGAATACTTGAGGAAGAAATTGAAGGGAAGCTGGAGGTATGTTAAGAAGTTTCCAGTAAGCATCAAGGTTCTTTCTAAGTATTACTTTAAGATGTCAGAGTCCAAAAAAGAAAAAAAAGAAAAAAAGGAGATTCTCTCTGAAATGATGGAGGCAGAAGGTAAAAGTATCAGAAAAGGTGATACTGGGGAGGAGTCACCAGGGAGAGACCACAGAGGAGACAAGAACAGCACTGCAGGATGGGGAATCGCACTCAGGCAGGGAGCAGCCACAACCCTCCTGAAGCTGCAAGGTGGCTGGCTATCCAGTCACCGCAGGAAAGGAACTGGCCAGGGAGCATGATGAGGACATCTTGGCTGCTTTTTTTTTTTTTTTTTTTTTTTTTTTTAAATAGAAGCATTTTAGCCCAAGAGTATGCCTCCTGGAACTTGATGCCTACATGTTCATATATTTTTATTTGCTTCCTTCTAATTAAGAAGTAAAATGACAGGCTACTCAAATCTTTTGTTATACAGGGCAGCCTGGATAGTCACAAATCATTGAATGACAGAAAGCAAGCTGTGTATGGCTTACTGTCCTCAGCAGGGTCTACTACCAGAAGGAATGGTGGCAGGACTCATGCACATTATGTCACCAGGAAAAGGGGTAGGGGAGACCAACCTGCCTCTAGAAGCTCGCTGGTCCTCCAGGTAGCTCCTGTGTTCTGGCCGCCTACTGAATTACTGTGCTCTTGAACTACTGCAGCCGCCAATAAATTGTCCACATTTACCACTTCTGGGTCAGAGCTGGTGTCAGACATATCATAATGAGCTACAACTGGAGGTCCATCTAGGGAGGAAAAAAATGTATACTTGTATCTAACTTGTGGGGTAAGAAATACCTCTCCAACTAATTAAGAGCTGCCTTAGCTACCATTGCATCTGATTAGAACTCACTCTGGTATTTTGAACATGATGCTGAAGTAGAAAAGATAACCCAAGTTTACAAAGATGAGGAACACGTTTTAGAAAGAGGAAAAGGGCATTACTTACTATGAAGACAAGACTACACAATGTCACACTGAATTACTCCTACAGAGCAACAGATTAAGAAAAGGCGATGATGGCCCCACAAAGAAAATGGGGAAAACTGCAATAAACTGTTAAGATCTAACTTAGTGCCCTTAGACACATGAGTTTAGCCCTTTTAGTAGCTAATACTAAAAATTCCTAGCAGACTTGGAGAGGAAAATCACATGTACATTTTCTTATTTACTAAATAAAGTTGGCACGAGAGCTCTGTCCACTAACTTCTTTAATCTCCAGCAAGGCCCTATGACAGTAACAGGGATGTTACACACTTTACAACATTCTACAAAAAGGCAATACCACAAAACCCACTGTCAGGATTTTGCTTTGGGCATCTTATAAAGGATAAGGGATGTTTATATTTTTTTCCCCTGAGAAAGATAAGTTCATCCAAGTAAAGGACAGCACCCTTGTGAGTAGGTTTTAAAAGAAGTTGAGAAAGTTCTTATTGGAAAAATAAGAACATGCTCCCAACCCCAAATCACATCACTAACTGCAGGTAAGCACCGAAGTAATTATACTACAGTAATTCATGCTGCAATAGCCCAGCATTCATGCTTATAAAATGAGCACATGCTTTAAAATGTATTGTCACCCTCTTCCTAACATAGTAGCAAAAGTACTTTGAAATAGTTTCCTTTCAAAAAATTTCTCAACCCTCCCCCCATTCTAGAACAGAGCTAAAGGGAATGCTGTCCTTCCCAACAGCTAGCTATGAAAAACAAAGTTTCTCCACATAGACTATTAACATCACCCAACAAATGAGTATCAAACACACCTATTTATGACTATGAATATATGTGTCAGTGAATGAAAAAATAACATACAATGAAGGCTTACTGTTTCAGCACATACATCCATTGTATAAACTCACTGAACAAAACACAGAATACAGATGAGCTATTTACCCCATGTCTTATGTGGCAACATTTTTTAAAAATTAAAAAGTGATCAGACATAAAAGCAAATGGCTTGTCAGGTGCCACTATATAAAGGACAGGCACATCACAATGAAATTATGACGACCGTGGCAATTTTAGCTGACTACTTAAAATCATTTCAAGTTTCCTTACAGGGGTAAATCAAGCTCATCAAAGCCCATAAAATTTAACAGAACAATAATGGATTTTTGTTCAAACAGCAAAATTTGTTCCCATTTGAGGTTTTTCACTTCTTTTTAAAAAAAAAAAAAAAAATGCCTCTTTTCTACAGAATTTTCGTCAGAGTTCAAAATGACTATTGCGGAATCAGGATACTGTGTGATGTCCAAACCCTTAGGTATATAAGGTAAGGGACTAAGTACAATGCTGACTACGTGACCACAGGCTCTGGTTTTGAAAGAGTTTTGTGAGTTTCTTCAGCTGTTTGCAATGAACTGTTTACGGATTTATCCTGAAATTTACAGACCCAATTCCAATTCAGAGCCCCTCATCCACATATTCCCCATCTCCAGCCTCAAGCTGAGAAAACAGGTCACAGGCCAAGTCAAAATTGTACTACTCCTACATGTATAATCATGCAAATAAGTATAAATGTATGTATACATGCAGAGTCACATCACCTACCCATGGAAATAACTTGTCTGAAAGTCTTCATCAGTAGGAAATACAAGCATAAACTTGTTATCTGGCTTCATTCTTGTATCTTCCATATTTCCAAACCGCACACCTTATAACTTAGCTTAAATGTATTATTTATTGTAAACAAAGACAGCAATATTTTCATATTTTAATTATATTTAACAGTTAAATTATGGTCACTGTCATTTTTCATTTCCGTTGGATTCAAACAGTGGCAACTCAGAACTATACAAACTAATAAAGAACTTTTCCAGCTTTGACTTTCAATGAGAAAGCACTAGTAAGGATCTTGTTGTCCAAGGTCATCTTACATCTACCATTAGTGAGCCAAAACTTAGTAAGTGCTCAGCACTGACAACAGGGTTTGAACTCTGAAAACAAATGTGATATTAGCTAAATAATGGTGACAGTTTGTGATAGTATTTTAGAGTGTGATTCTGACAGCACAGAATTTAATTTTTTTCAGTTGGTTATTTTTACACTTTCTATGGGAGTGTGTGTGTGTGTGTGTGTGTGTGTGTGTGAGAAGACAACTTTCAGGAATCAGTTTCCTCCTTCCACCTTGTGGTTCTGAGGCTCAAACTCATGTCAGGCTCAGCAGAAAGCACCATTCTCCACGAGCCAATTCACAACTCTTTATCTGCTTTATCTTTTAAAATATATCTTAGTAAGGTTTTCAGACCATAGCTATCAGAGAAGCTATGAAAGTTTGGCTTGTTAACAGAAAGATCTCTACTGTCAACCCATAGCTGCACAGAATAAACACTCTCCTGATTATTCTCGGATGCTTTCAGAACAACTGAATTCCTACTAACTTTCAAGAACATCAAAATTGTTGCTTTAAGTCAGTCTATACATCAAAACACTAACAACTTAAGATTCAATTGTTAACAGAAGCATATTGCATGCTACAACAAATAAGGCTACCCAAGAGCATTTTCCCATCTGCCAACTGAGACCCATCATAGCCATAAAAATTGGCACATGATAATAACTTTGCTAGTTTTTATACAATCATTAAAAGCATCTCTTCGTAAAGGCAAACAATTAGTTAATAACATCAATGTGTGGTTTATCTATGTGCTATTTTCCCCCTCACTAATTGAATTCACAGGAGAACCCAGCCAGGAGATCCTCCTAGGTGCTAGGATCATAGACATGTACCACTATGTCCAGTTTACATTTTGAATGTTTTATCGTTTGTTGCAATTACAAAAGAAGAAAAGTTAAAATCAAGAAATCCACCAACACCTTTTATATAAGAACATCAAAACAAAGCTGGAGAGGAAGCTCAGTTGTCAAGTCCCTGCCTAGCATATACTAGGTCCTGGCTCAATCCCCAACAACATAATACACTAAGCTTGATTTGTACTCAGCCCCTATCTTACATGAATAGATTCCGATCTCTCTCCCTCTCCCTCCACTCTCTGTGTGTGTGTGTGTGTGTGTGCACGCACACACGCATGCGTGCATGCATGCATGTATATGCATGCGTGCGTGCCTGTCTGTCTATGCACATGCATGTGAATGCGTCAACCCTGTATATCCTTTCTAGTCTCAGGTATCAATCACCTTGTGTTGTGCCGCAACAGGAACTGTCTCTCACTGGCCTGTACCTCTCCAAGTAGGCCATGCCACCTGGTTAACAAACCTCGGGGATCCTCCTCTCCCCAGTGCTAGGATCAGAAATCTACACTCTTCCAGCTGGCTTTTTTATATGTTCTGGAACCGAACTCAGGTCCTCATGTTTTGCTGCAAGCACTTTACCAAGTAAGCTCCAGCCCCATTCCAACTTTTCAAATACAAACAGTCGTTCCTAATAAACTGAAGTTCACTCTTTATGATCTTCAACTTTCTCCATTGCTGATATTAAATGTTATTTTTCAAATTTATTCTAATTGGGGGGGAGACACATCAAAATCACACACTCTTATCACACACTACTCTTATCCATAATGAATTTCCTTTCAAATTTGGCAACTAGAAGCACACCATTTTATAGATACAAGATATAGATACAAGATAACCACACAATTTAACTCTTTCCCATCCCCCTTTTTCCAGTACTGGGAAACCCAGGATCTCATGAATGCTACACTCACAGCCTTTTTAAAACCCTGAGACACAGTCTAGCTAAACTGCCTAGGTTCTACCCTTCACCCGCTTCTTTCTGTACAGATGAAAAGCCGAAGTCCCTATTAGGTAGAACTACTAAAGAAAGACTCCCGAGTGAGTCTTCATATTCTGGTAAAAGACTCAAAAGTTGAAGCCTTCTTTCCCCTCTCTTGGCTGTTCGGACTCCAGTAAACTATGTTACTAATGTTTCTTCCTAGGTTATGCTGAGTGTTAAAGAAGAGTCAATAGGTGCCGAGGCCTGGCTCAGTCAGGAGAGTGCTTGACTTAAAAGCACCAAGACTAAATGTGATTCCTCAGAACCCAGTGTCCAGCCAATCTAGACTAACCGGCATGCTCTAGACCGATGAGGACCCCAAACTTACATGAGGTGAATGGCATTCCTGAGTATGACAACTTAGGTTGTCCTCTGGCCTCCATATACACGCACACACGTGAACACACATGGAGACATGCTCATACAGACACCACAGCCTACACACTTTATAAAAAAAGATGACACTGGCACAACAGGAGTTTTTTTTTTTGTTTTGTTTTGTTTTGTTTTTTTTAAGGTATAGCCTGTCAGGCCTGGTGTGGCATGTCTTTAATCCCAACCCTTAGGAGGCAGAGACACTTAATCTACATACATAGCATACACAGTGAGATCCTGTCTCAAAACAAAGAAAACACTTGCCTACTCGCCCATCTTGCTGTAAGAAGGAGCTATCCTATTTTGTCCTTCTCTGTTGTTCTTTCTTTCTCCATGCACTCTGCAGAACAGCCCGTATGCAAGCAGCTTTGGGAAACAGCAAAGCCTCAGCTGCTGCCTTATAATGCTATACACAAACCTAACTTGCTAAATGTCAGGCTAAGATTAAGTTAAATGAAGCCATCATTGATGTAGCTTTTATTCTCTAATCCCAGTACCTAGGAGACTAACACAGAAGGTTTATAAATTCAAGGCCAGCCTAGACTACATTAGCAAGTTCTAGGCTAGCCCTAATTACCTACAAAAGAAGACCCTGTTTCAAAAACACTAATAAAAAAAAAGAAAAGAAAAGAAAAT